TTATCTTGGTTTACTTTATCAATATAAAAACGAACCAAGATTTAAACGTCCGTCAACCATCTTCTCAAAGTATAAATAAGCGGCCAGATCAAATAAATACGGAAAGTGTGTCTAACGAAGAAAAGCTCCTTCTAAATGAATTATTAGACTGGTGTAGAAGCCTAATCGAGGCAAAACCTTAATTAAGGGAATTAATGCCATCTATTAGCAGCTTTAAAACCGAATCTAAACCTAAAACTTAAGAATGCTTAGGAAGATTATTCTTAATATCATTTAAACTTTAGGTTATTCAAAATGGGATAGTGATTTTAAAATTTACCTATGTTTAATATGTCAGCTGTGTAAGAAATAACATTTAACCCTGGCTTTCAAGCCACCATATACTTTCATAAGGCCTTAAAAAAGGCTTAAAAAAGACTATAAGAAATAACGCTGTAAGTAAAATAGATATGAAGGGTTGAAATCAAGTGAAATCACTCAAATAGCAATCTAATAACAGATCTTTGAAGGCAAGAATGAGTTGAATGAACTAATTTTCTGACTGAAAGGTCCAAGTGCGATCAGCACTTTCGACACACTAAATCCGCTCAAAAGGGCACACCTCTGGATTAGTCGGGCACAAATATGACAGAAGTTGTTAAAGAGAGGAAGTGAGATATGAGGATGGGGTGCAGATAGATGCATCAGGACAGGAGTAATACCATAATCGTTTGATATTAAGTTAGTCGAGGAATGACGTCACTTGCCTTTTTGAAGAGTTGTAGCTTGGTGCCAAGAATGGTAATGCTCCCTAATGATGCCAGTTTTTGTGCGATTAGCTTTGCTAGCAAATAGCAAAGATAAATTTACTGACTGAGACATTTTCAACAAGCATTTCATAGTGACTGCTAATTAACTCAGAACCAGTAATAAGCAGACATATGCTTAAATATGTGTGTAGCTAACTGCTCCACATAATTAGTAAATCGATGAGTTTAGCTTTTCCTATCCCAATGATGCATTTAGCCATTACGCCCATTTCTACATATATTATTTAACCCTACTTCTGATTTAGTGCATACAAATTTGACGTGCCTTTTTCAATAAACAATGTGCTGCAAGCAGATCCAGAATACTTTTCAAATTGCACCCTTTTGTTCCACTATATTCATGAAACTTAAGTCAGTTTCATAATCAGTTTAAGGTTGTCTAAGTCTAGGAAATTAGGTGGATAGTATACACACTAATTGAGAGGTCTCAGTAAATCCTAAGAAAAGGAAAATAGTTAAGCCATCATACCGGTCATATCTCCTTAAGGGCAAAGTTGTCTGTGGAAAAATATTATATTTATTATCTGGTAATTGTAGAAAGTAAGCTATAATTTTAAGGATACATGGTTAGAATAGCAAACACGAGGCTTAAACAGTGAACTCTCTAAGAAGTAGGCCTTTAAGATACTCGGCAAGTTTGTGATGCATTTAAACCCGAGGAGAACTCCGAGCTTGATTTGGCCAGTAAAGTAAAAGTGATAAGAAAGTATGCTGTATGAAACTGCGCTTGCTAGGCTCGGTTTCCCAGTAAAACTGGTGTTTAGGCAGTAATTAAATTAAATTCAGGGAAGAAATAAACAAATAAATAGCTAAGTTCATTAATAAGATCAGGACTCCCTCCCAAATTCATTACAAGTCGATCTAATATCGATAAGTGAGATTAAGTAAGTCTTCTTTTGTTAACTTATTCCGCTAATAAAGTATTCACAAAGCCAGTGGAAGGCGAAAGTCCTAAAGATTGTATTCATGCAAAATGTCTTTTAAATAAGACATACCTAAGATTCAGGAAACCATCTACGGAATTAAAGGCTAAGCGATTAAGGAATAAAAAAAACTGAAATGAATCATTCAGTAACGAATTAAGAAAGCTACTATCTTCTTAGTGAGAGACAGGGACTAAGAGACTGCATCAAAATATGTTTGTGTGCTCATATTTTGTGAAAATATGCAGTAAATTAAAAATCTATATTACCAGGACGCTTCCGAATTTGAGTCAGAGATACAGTATCCTGCGGCCCGGATAGTCCGTTCGTCGAGGCATAGTTGGAAGGTAGGCCTGGTGGGCAGTAGAGGGAACTTCTAAGGCCTTCGATTACCTCCCAACCTGAAAAGTCATAATATAAAATAAGTACACTAGCCAGTATATTTGGGATACTGAGACAAAATAAGGCATATAATTAAAGGAAAAAGATTTAAACGATACTAAATTACCAATAAAATGACGTTTACTGGAAATCAGTATGTGGGATGCAAATAAGAAGGCTAAGCCGAAACCAAACAAAATTAATAAATACGCGAGCATGAGAGTGCTTATTCATCTACTTATCAACCTTTTCACGACTTTGGAGTAAGGCTCTAACAATATTCAAATGGGAGGTCAAAAATAAGATTGCAAGAGCGAATAAAATGAGGCAGAGTTCAGAGCCTAAGGGCAAATTTATGAGGCATAGTACACACATCTATCTTTTGATAACCATGGTTACATTTATTTTTTAGTTGGAGAAACAAGTTTAATGTTGTTTTGAACTATATGATTGATAAACCCTAAATTGTAAAAGCATACAAAGATGGATCTTTGTGTATTATACAGATTGAAAGCAGGATAATTGGTTCTGGCTGTAAATGCAAGAGTTCCAGTCATAAACAGAACGCATAATGAAGGCGAGGTAAACATGCTGTTATACATTTTAAAAGTTGAGTTAATATTGAAAGTTTTTCAGTCTGTACATTTCATGATAAATAACAAAATTCTTCGACTGATTTGCAGGTTCATGGTCATAAACATAAATAACAAAAGACTTAAAGTCATTGCTTCCAAAATATAAAGTGTTCAGCAGTCAATTATGGCCGAGGTTACCGGCACAATAGATTAATAATGCAAGGTTAATCGGGATCACTAGTTCTATCACCTAATTCCTGGTATACAATAGCAAATATAATCTTGAATTCAGGGCAAAAACTTTTTCCCAATATATCACTCAGTTTAAAAGAATTTAGAGTAAGCTATAAAGATAAAAGTATTAAACCGATTATATGAAATGTTTTCACCCTATTTCGTTTAAAGTGATAAAGGACTGGTAGTAGAATTTGCCTACAATGATGTGAGTAGAGCTGAGCTTTCCTTTGAATTTCACATAGCCTTGATTTCCCAAATGTTGTTCCAATCCAGGGTGGACTGTTGCAATCGAACCATGACAGTGCAGCATGGGAGCTTGACAAGTTAAGCACTCGGCCACATTGCCACGAGTGCCCTTGGGTCACAGGGCAGATGTGAATTTCAGGGAAGGCCAGTCCTTTTCCATATACCATTCTTTGATGGGATTGTCAATGAAGCAAACGTATTTTTGCCATAACAATCAACTACATTAAATGTATAAAGACCAAGATGGTGTGGCCTTTTGTGGGGTCGCAGTCTCCTTCCGTTGTATATAGGTTGTTTGACCTTGTTTTCGCAACTAGGTCACATTGGTAGGAAGAATTAGAGGAACTCACATAGTCCGGAGTTCATTGTATGCATAATGCTTTCCCGAGTCGGACCCTGGACGTGGTACATTCCCAACAATTTCTCCGGCATCGTCAGTTAGTAACGCCATTCTTAGCACCATACCATATTTACCAATCAACAACCCAACCAATACAACTAAACACATCAAGACACCCTAACCCTAACCCTTTCCGTTAGTTGTAAGCTTCTGATGATCAAACCCCTCAGTATTCCGATCTTCAGTCTGTAGTTATGATGGGAGTGAAAATTAAGGATTATTCCCGTATATTAATTCTTACTGTCTCCTTTGAAGCGCATGACTACAATATCCATAAAGGATAGTCGTTCATCCTCCTCCACCTCCATTGTGAATTTAATTCTTTCATCAAGTTGGTTAATAAAATTTAGGAATTCATTTAGATTTTCTTTACCATGTGACCAAAGTGCAAAGTAGTCATCCAAGTATGGCATGAGCACTCTTGATTGCAGTGGTGACTCCTCGAATTCCCTTTCCAACTTGTCCATGACCATGAGACTTACTCTGAGGCTTTAGCCTCTAATCAATCACCCAGATGCAGGGGATGGGCGAATTACGCCTCGAATAGCATAGATGGGGGGGCAGGGGTCGAGTGAAATACATATACCAGGAAGATAGCAGACTGATTCGACGGGGCAAGAGGAAAACTTTGATAGGAACCAGGGAAGGACTACGTAACAATATGACAGACTCTGGTCAATATTCCCAGCAAAAGGGTGAAGGGGGTGAGAACGAAAGCGTGGAGTGTGAAGGGTTTTCATGAATGCCGTTCGAAGGAGCATATCACCCTACATCAAAATAAGCACGGTAGAAATTGTGACAGCGAAGGCGTGATAAGAGGATATAGGAAATGTGAATAGCCTATGGCACAATTGTTTAGCACACGTTTGGTCAAAGGATGGGCTTCACTTGTCTCTTTGACGAGTAGTTGTGTGGTGCTAAGAATGGCAATACTCACTGACGATGCTGGCTAAACGTCTGGGAATGTACCACGTCCACGGTCCGACTTTGGAAATGATCATGCGTACAATGGACTCCAGACTAGGTGCGTCCCTCTAATTCTTTATACCAATATGACCAAGTTGCGAAAACAAGGTCAAACAACTTCAATCAACTACACTACTTATTTTTCGTATAATTAGAGTTTCAAGACTACCATTAAATCAGTAATATGAGAGGTATTCACTCTAGTTCGTTTAAGGTGATGAAGGACAGCTATTAGAAAGCAAGGCTCTGAAATTCAATGGAAACGTCAGCTCTACTCATATCATTGTAGGAGAATTCTATTACCAGTCCTTCGTCACAATTAACGAAATAGGGTGAATACATCTCATATAACTGATTTACTGGTAGTCTCGAAACTCTACTTATATGAAAAATATTAAACCGATTGCCTTACTGCCACGGTGAATCGATTGGAATCAAGGAATTCAACGAAGCAACCACTCTATTCCTAGGGCCTAATGGTGCATACTTGAAATCCCATTAAAGCATTAGGCTTCTGGTTAATGAAAAGTGATGGTTGCTCAGCATGACCGTAGTTACTGCTTCTTATCTTGCATCGCTACAAGGGTGGTACAATAAGTAGTATATAAATGAAGAGCGGTATACTCTTAACGAAGCATTGCCCAATCCTTTCTAAAATTGAATTGTTCTATTTATTACCACTTTTGAACTATTTGTTTGGAATATCTCTGAGAAACTCTTCAATATCCCCCAATTCTCATAAGTAG